GAAAAAAAAGAAAAGCTCGAAGGAAACTTTCAGAGTTTCGAGCATCGATGATCGTGTTCACTCCCAATCACGACATCGCTCGACCGCCCCAGACGTCAAGAGCCAGAGCGTTCGCTGTGAGCCCTGATAGCCTCCTTCACGTCCACCATCCGCTCTCTCGTCAGACTCTTGTCCTCCTCCTTGATCATCATCCATCGCAGCTCATCGGTTTGATCATACCCGCTCGTCTCCATCATCCCCTGCCCAGTCGGTATGCATCCCCGGTCAAGCTTCAGAGCTAGAGTACTCTCGTTTGTTCCAACAATGTGCCGTAATAGGTCATCGTTTCGGGCGTGAAACTCTCTACTGAGAGCTCAATTGTCTAGGTGGAGGGAGACGAAGGAATCATCAGCTTCCTTCTTCTTTTCTCACTCAATGGGTTTTCATTTAGATAATGCTAAAATTTATATTGACTAACTCGAATGGCTACTTTAGAACCCAGGACGGCGCTCTTCCTGTCGACTTTCTCGAGTTGATCCCATGTCTGATTGAGAGATTCAAGGAGCCCGTCCGGGCGGAGATTGGGATCGTTTTGTTGATGGGAGCTGTGGCCACCTGAACCGATAAATTCAGCATAAGCGTCTTCGACGTCTTTCCGGATTTCCTCATCAATCTCCGATCCATCTGATCCCCCGTCTTCCTCTTCCTCTTCCGCATCCCCCTGTTGCCCTTGGTCTGCAAGCCGAGTCTTAGCTGCAATTCTACGACGTCGTTTGAGCGATTTCTTACGGTTCTTGCGCGTCTTCTTGCTGACCGTCTGCTCGTAAGCAAGCTGTGTATAAGTCGGCTGATCATAATCCCATCGCTCGCCGGTTTGACCAGGTGTCCAGTAGGGATTGAGAACATTGATCGAGGTGATGAGAACGTTGGATGGGATTAGATCGAAGTCTCGGGCAGAGGGAGGTGGGCCATGAGAACGAGCGGTATGGGTGACCGAATAATCGACAAACTCCTCCTCTTGCTCCTCCCCCTCCTCCTCCTCATTACAATTATTAAAGGACGCATAATCATATGAAAAATAATCTTTCTGAGGTAAATCAGCTGGTGCAAGGATGGGTGAGGTGGGAGCTGTGCCCAGATTGGGGGATGGGGGCATGTAACAGGGGCTCTTGACTGGACTCATTGGAGCTTCTTCGGATGGGCCGGATCCGAATACAATCTTGCTAGGTTGAGCTAGCTGCTCAGGGCCTGATTTCCGCTTGAGGTTCTTGCGTTTGTTCTTGTTAGACAGGGAGAGCATGGTCAGATGGGGATTGGGGACGATTGGTACCTTTTTTTGAGTGATCGGTGCCATGAGGTTTGGTCGTTTCGAGGGTAGTTCGGATGGTTGTGAGGATGCTTCCGAAAGAGTTGACTTGGGGACCGATGTAGCAGGTTCAGAGTCAGAGTCAGAGTCAGAGTCAGAGTCAGAGTCAGACTCGGATGAGGAGCTTGATGATGAATCATCAGAGCTAGTTCCGGAGGAAGAATCGGAACTAGATTGATCTTGTTGACTACTGGTCTCACTACTGGAACAATCCTTGCTACTTTCTGATGAGTCGGTCTTGGCTCCTTGGTTGATGTTAAGAGCCCCCTTGGTAGTCGCTTGAGGTGGCTTGGATTGAAGTTTGTTGTTTTGGTTGGAGTGAGCTTGGGTTTGATTGATCCCAAGCACAGTTGATTGCTTCTTCTCGCGCTCTCTGATTCGTTTGATTCTTTTTCTCTGATTCCTGGCTTTGGTAGATGGTTTTCCTTGCCCTGGCGGTGCAGGTGTATCCTTTTGGAGATTCGCAGGATTGACTGAGGAGGTGGATGGGGAGTGAATCTTGGGTAGGTTTGGAGGAGGTTGATGAGTAGTAAGTTTGGGGAGCTTAGATTGCTGGAGTGGCTTGATTGGACGTTCAGCCGGTTGACTCTTCGATCGCTGAGGTGATAGCAGTGGTTCGGTGGGGGTGGTTTGGGTCTTGGCCTGTGATCTGCGTCTCTTCTTGCTCGGTTGGATTTGTGAGCTAGATGGGATGGGAGAGAGGGTCTTGACACTACCAAGGAGGGGGAGATCATTTAAAGGATGAAACAAAAAAGGCCTAGAGATGAAAGATGCTTACTCGATCAGATCATGAGCCTTGAATTGGGATTATGATGGGTTGGTTAGCTTCCCTCAACCAACTTGTAGAATTAAGAATCAGATCTCAGGAGTGATGGTGGGTGAGCTTACCGGGTCGATTAGCGAGCAGAGGCTTTGATCGAGAAATGCAAAGGCTTGATGAGATGAGGGGGGAGGGGGGTCAGATTGGATGTAGTACTGTTTGTTGAGATTGGGTGAGTGGACATACCATCTAGTTCGAGTAGGATATCATCGGCTGAGTTGGTAGTTGATTGGTTGTTTGGTGTGAGTTGTAGTAGGTTGAGGATGGCTGACTTGAGTGAGTGGATGGATTGGTCTGGGTTGAAGGGTACCCAAGCTTGGAATGGTCTGAGTGGTGGATGGGTTCGAATCCTGACTCGGTTGTTGGGGCTCATGATGATGGTGTTTGTTGAAGTCTGACTGGGAAAGGCGTCGAAGTTGGATGGTGGTTTTTGAGATGGAGGAGGGGGAAGTGGGAGATTGGAAGGGATTTTTGTGTGATCTCCGGTGCTGCGGCCCAGCCGATCAGCTTGCTTACATAAGTATCCATCTCAGCACAACACCGTCTCGATGGCCGGAACCCTCCGGCCCTCAAGGAAGCCCCATCTATGTCAGTGCAGTTCTACTACCTTAGAGCATCTCCATCCTATCCCGCATTTTATAGGGACCAAAGACCAAAAATCACCTCCCACTATGGTCCCCATCCAGATCTGTAATTTACATATTCCATCCTCCATCCCTCTTCAGACCCTGGATCCAGGGATTGGATAGGGACCAAGGATTGTGCACCCACAGTACTCCTCAACATAAATGAGACACAGCATCATACTACAACCTCATGTAACATCTTGTCAAAACCACATTAATGTGTTGATTTACAGACTGTCCGGTGTGGCAGAACAAGTCTGTGAGTCCCTATCTGCATTTCCAAGTCCATATTTCCACCCAATAGGGACCCAAATATACGGACTGCAATGGAGATGCTCTTATAGGTGTCCCAGGAGCTGTTCCCAGAGGCACCTATAACAAGTTTATGTTCCAAATATTTTGCAAGTGGCTTAGAGCAGCTCATGCTGCTCAGAGGGTGCCTGCAAACTCAGCAATGCCTCTGTACACTCCATTTCTGCACCTTTGTGTTGAGTTGCACCGCTTGACACTCCAGTTCCAACCTCAACATCAGTGGTCTCATATAGATACTGTACATACTGTCATACTGCATGCACTTATTCTGGTGGTGGAAATCAAACACATCAATGTTGATGTCATCTAGTTTTCAAATCAACCAATCTATCAATTTATCCGCCAAATCCAACTCAGCACTTCCCTCAACTCAAGCACCACATGTCCCTACTTTCCAATCATGGTTTCTGAATACTATAAAAACCATTGATCCTCTTGACTACCCACCCAAGAGACATGTTTGTAGAAGCAGTACCAACTCCAGAAAAAAATATGCCAAAGATGAGACTGCAGCTTACCTTTCTGAAAATGCCCAACAAGCTGCTGAGCTAGCCACCCCACCTCAAAACCCCAATCTGCCAGATTTTGCTGAAGACTACTCAGCTCATGTCGGTGAATATGATGGTCCATCTTACTGGGAATATGTAGAGATAAATCTAGACCAACATCAGGAGACACAAGCTGAAATCCAATCAAATTATCAGGGCATCATCCAGCAACAGAAATTATGGAACTGGACCAAAGTTTTCAATGTGCTATTTCCTGTGTACACTCTATTAAAGCAAGTAACAAAAAATTGGAAATCACCATCCTCTTTCATTGATGACACAAAGGAGCTCTGTAACTGTGAACCTCGCCAGAAAAAAGCGTGGCCAATTCACTTGGTTGATTTACCAGGTACACAACACTTTTTTCATTTTGAACCAGAGTTGAAAATGATTGTGTTTGCTTTCCACAGGCCAAGAATGAAAACTGATACTATTTCGCTGATCATGTACAGCCAATGCTGTCCAGATCATGGCCCATGGGTACTTGGTGAGCACTCTAGTGCTCCCACAAGCTGCCTTTTCACTACAGTTACTCAACTTTTACAATCTAATTTGGAACTTGTGTAAAACAGATACCATTCCATTTGCCAAAGTAATGTGTTGTTTGAATGTTCAATGAGTCACCTTCAATGAGGCTTTACAGCAAGAAGAAAAACAAGGTGAGAATTGTGCTTCATCTCGAATCGTGCCATGAATACCTGTTCAATGGCTTCTAACCAGCTACAACTGATGGCTTAATTTCTTTTTTATTTTATGCACAATGAATAAAGAAGTGTGTATTCAACATCAAAGGAAAATGAGTGACATGTTTGTGAAAGAGAATAAAAAGAGGGAAAGCTCGAGTGAAATTCCAACATCCAACAGGGTTAGGACAACATCCCAGTGGATCACCTCAAAATCCTTATCAAGTCAATTCCCAACCAAATGCACCTGTTTGTGAAGACCTCTGGTGGGCCAATCAAATATAAATTTTGTTTTGTTTTGTTTTGTGATTTTTTTTTATTTCATAATCATTATCCCCCACCTCTCAGCTACCCTCTCCCCTTTATTTTTTTTATTCAAAAAAAATGTAATCAATTTTGCATTTTGTTTCTTTTGCTTCACGTTTGTTTTTATCATCCCCCTATCCACCAATCCATAAAAACTCTGGCTGGAAGGAAACCCTTCCAGCCAGCCTTTGGCCTTGGGTATCTGTGGAGATACCCGGGTATTCGCTGGAAAATCAGGGGAAATGGCACATCCGCTGGTGGGTATCTGCCAGCGGATAAAGGGTATCTGCAACAGATACCCAGAGACCATCTCTATTCGCATGTGATATTTTTTCTTTGATGGAGTAATTGATGTGTCATAAACAACTGGGAGAATAATGTACTTCCTCAATATAGCAGCTTGCCTGATGGGTGGTACCAACAACAAAACCAATATTATTTGTATCTATTTTTCTCCAAATACATTGTATTTGTATTGTATCAAAAAACAGATGCTATACTGTTGAGATTCTGTCATCTCCGGGTTTCCTTTTTTTCCTGTCACTCATTCCATTCCCTTTTCCATGGATGTTCATCTCAACTTTGTCCCACAGCCTGTCCCTCATTGTTGTAATATCTTAAGTACACAGTTTGGATAAGAGAAATATCATCATCAGTTTTCTGTGCCTGTTCCCTGAGACCACTCATTCAGTCTCTTTTAGTGAGGTTGATTTTCTAACCCACAAGCTAGCAGCCTATAAGCCCTTCATGACCTTGTTCTTTTTTCTCATCAGAGTTTTTTGTCACCAGTCACTTCTCCCTCTTCCCAGTTGAAATTTCTGTTGGAATTATGCCACATTTGCCACCTGTCTCCATCTTCTATCTCACTGTTTCAGCTCCATCTTTGCCACCTTTCACCTCATTCTACTTGTCTCATTGCCATCCCCTTATTTATTCTCTTCTCTTCCCCTCTCTCTCTCTTTTTTCCTAGTTTCATCTGTATCTCTCCCCTTGTTTCAACCACAACAGAACTGCAGAACTGCGGAATCACAACTCAGCCAAACCTCAAATCCATCTATAAAAGCCAACACCCTCATCCACTCTTTCTCTCAACACTGGGTCACTACTTTACACTGCATTATCCAGTGTATCTGAGTAGTGTAGTGCACCCAGCTGCTTGGCTGCTACTTTGCCGCTACACTAACCACAAAGTTTTTTCCCTGGGCTGTAGTGTAGTGGGACCCTTTTCTGAAACCCAAAAAAACCTGATAGTGTAATGGTTTCACCCCTGGATAGTGCGCTACTGCACTGTCCTGTAGTGTAACTGGGCCCCTCTTTTTGAGACCACCAAAATCTGATTTTGTAACAGTTTCACCCCTGGCCAATATTGTGTTACACACCATCCAGGGGTGAAACAGCCCTAATCTGATGAGGAACTGGCCCAGCCTTTTCATATAAGTGTCCCAACCTGCTAGCAGCCATCCATCAATTGTGCCCTTTGTCCCTGACCCCATACATCTTGATTCTTCGTCTTCAACATTATTTAATATCATCCAATATCAATTATTATTCATCTTACTTGCTCATATGAATGTTCCCCTCTCCCACGTGTGTCTTCCTAACAGTAATTTTTTTCTTGTCATCTCCTCTCTAGTTTAATGCAATAAAAAATACAAAAAAACAGCTGCTTCGATAGTGTAGTGGCCAAAAAAAACAGCAAAAAAAGAAAATGATAATGTAGTGCGTTTGTGCTACAGGAAAAGTAGTGCTAGTGACAAAAAAAACCACTCCTTTACCGCTACACTACTGTTACTGGTAGTGTAGTGACCCAGTGTTGTTTCTCTTTCCTTTCTTCTCTCAGAATCATCCAACATCTTCACCTTCAACCTCAACCAATTCAACCATTGGCCCAACTGCTTGGCCTTCAAACTCAAATCTCTCAGTCCCTCAAGATTCCCTATCTCACCTTCTCCATCCAGCTTTGCTTCACTACAAAAAGGATTGAATTGCATTAGCAGAGTGCAAGGTAACATCACATTTCACCTGCAATGTCACCTTGCATTTGCAAAATGTGATTGAATTTTTAGTGTGAGTTGACATTGCATGTGAGTCTGTGACATGCAATGTTCCCTCACATTCTGCAAATGTGATTCAATCCTTTTTGTAGTAATTCTTCTTTGCTATCTTTCTTTTTCTTCTATCTATCATATCCCCTTCTCATCCAATCTCACCAACAACAACTCCATCCCAATGTATCATCAAGCTCAACAAGCTCTATCCTCATTGCCCCACCTTATCTCTTGACTTACTCACTTGTCTATTGCCAATTTAGTGAGAAAACTAAATCTTAATCAACTTCAACTTTCTATTGTCAAGATTCTTATTAACACTTCCTTTTTTAATTTCTTTCAAAAAGCATCTACTATATCTCTCTCTTCAATATTTTCTACTTTAGACATAACTCTTTCCATGGTATGCTTTCTATTTTTCTTTATTTTATTATTGTCATCAAAAAATAACTTGTTTTTGGTTCTAATTTCAGTACCCAAACCTGTTTTTCATCAATCTCATCATATACAAATGTGTCAACACTCTTGTATCTATTCAGAAAAACAGCCCAATACAAAAAATATGATACTGTATCTTTTTGTTGTTGAAATCTGAGCACCAGGTGCTCAAATTTGTTTCCCTTCAGACTGGGACAAAGTGTACAATCATGACATCATTGTTATCTTGGCTCTCAACCAAAAAAATCTTGTAGTCAATGCTCATCTTCAGTGATGATCACTTTTCTCTGAACATTCAAGAATCTCTCACAATCACTTGTCTCAATTCCTTTCCTCCCTCATGGAGCAAATCAGGTCATACTTTTGGACCTCAGATCTTAGTTATCATCTTTGTGTTGTCTCTTTCACCATACTATCAATGTTATTGTTCCACCACCTGACATAGCTTACTGTCAAAGTCTCCCGTATCTTAGTTATTCTCATTGACTTCACCAATCGCCTCTAAAGATGCAAACCTTCTTTGAAGTTTCCTTCTTCCTTGACTCAAAACTTTCCCTTCCTCTGACATCTCGCCAAAACTCAAGAAAGCTCTCTGGTCCTCTGATCACAGTAGGTTGCCTGTGTCTTGTTTGTCTTATATCGTCTTTTAGATTCTTTTTATATCTTTGAGTTCTTGTTCCCTACCTTTGTTGTGCGTCCTCACTGGTAGTGGTTTGCCTTCAGGTTAGGCTCCTTTTTTTTCTTTCTCTTTTTCTTCATGGTATTTCTTGTTCATTAAACTCATGAGAAATAAAACCTTCAGTTTGGAAAATTAACATTTGTATTTTCCAAAATGTTGGTTGAGAACAGTCCAAGTTGGCCAAAAAATGTGTAGTGTTTTTTGGACAAAATAAAATTGTATTGTATCCGATTTCAGAGCCCCATAATAGGGGGTATTGAATATAACCAAATCCCCCATTATTTAATGGACCGATTTGAAAAAATTCACCATTTTTTAAACATGTTGGTTCTTCATTTAGAGGCCCACGGAGGCAATTTCTTTTGTTTTTTTTTGGGGGGGGGGGGAAGTGAATGGTTTCTAATGGTGGATTTCCTATATTTTATACCCCCTGGTCTTGGAAGGAACCAACCAACTGTGTGCAAACTTCACAGTAACCTCACATATACAGCCAAACTGAGAAAGCTTGCGATCTTGGTTCAAAAAAAAAACATTGTCCAAAGCTGGAATGTTTCAAAGACTACATCACCCTGTATGCCCACTTGCACACAGGGTTTGCTTTTGATTTTTTTTGATAACTTTTTTATCCCTTGATTCCAGCTCATGATCAGGGTAAGACCATTGGAATCCTGATGGAAATCTTGTTCAGGCTGAGTCCCAATGTTTCACTCCCCCTGCCTCAGCCCCCCAGCACAGTGGTGGACTTCCCGACGCCCAGATGGCTTGATTTAGAGGGACTGGCTGAACTTTGATTGCTGGTGAAATCTCAAGATCAAACAATTTTCACCAGCAAATAAGCTTTAGCCCTTCCTTCTAAATTAACAAATTCAGACAACGGGAAGTCCTCCAGTGGCCGGCCAGGTCCCATCACTGATAGAGATGGCCTTGGGTTATCCATCGTGGATACAGGTTTGGGTGTGGATGTCCGCTTCTCCTCAAAATCCTGGCGGATATCTGGGTATCTCCAGGGATACCCGAGGCCAAGACCTTGTACACAAGGCAGAGAGGAAGGAATCCCTCTTGGCCGACAAGGCACAACCTTGTTGAGCAGAAGGAAGACCTTCCAGGATGAGGTACATGTACCTGACTGGAAGGAAAGGGTTCTAGCCGGCAAGGTACAAGTACCTTGTTGACTGGAAGGTCTTCCCTATGGTTGAAGAGGTTCTGCCTTGTTGACCATTTAAGGGGTGGATATCTGTGGATACCCGCCCCAATACCCACTAAGGCTGAGTCAATGCTGCAACAAATATGATATTTGCAATGTATTGGCATGTATTTTTTCATGTATTGTGGTCTGAATGTAACTTTTGTCATGACCAATGTGGTTCTATTGAGAGTCTTATTCATTCAATCTGGCTCTTTGCCATACATTTTGGTACAATTCCTCATGATACAAACTGTGTATTGTATTTGTTGCAGCATTGGCTGAGGGTTACCCACCAGAAGGATATGGATGTTGGATTCCACTGAAAAAGCAGCAGATATCCAAATACGCATGGATATCCAGATGTGATGGGCCATCTCTAATCACTGATGCCGGCAAGCATTTTGAAATCTGTACACTCAATGTATTCTTCCAAACCTTCCAACTCCAGTCAATGGTTTTTTTAGGAATTCCGCCAACTGGGACTGCAAGCTTTCTTGGTTTGGCTGTATACTCTTTTGAGGTGCACATGGGAGGGTTGCAACATCGAGGATACAAAATTCTCTGTGCATGAAGAGTTTTCTCCTGTGTGCAAAGCATTTCTGTAATTGTTTTCCATACAAATGGCAAAAATTTATGGTGTTCAAAGTTAAATATGCATATTTCATAAATAATCAAACCCTATTTGCAGGGAATCTTGACAATCACATTACATAAACTGGAGGCTTCCCACCAAACAAGATTTCATGGTTTATGAAATATACACACATAGCAACTTTGAACACCATACTCACACCGTTTTGCAAATTTCCCAGCCCAAAAACCTAAATTTTCCTTGGCTGTGGCATATTTTCCTATTTTTTCTCCCCAAACATGATAGTATACAACCCCAAGAACCATGTACAGAAAGATGGGTTGCACCACTGTTGTATGAATGGATTCCATAAATGTAGTAATTTTAACAAAATCTTGGGTTTTTGGTTAGGCACATATGTGGGGGACTGCCTGTGTGCAACCAATCAAGCAAAGTTGCATGCTTTTAAAATTTAGGTAGAGTGGGGCATCACAGCTAATGGGTTTTTACCTGTAGTTTGGCAGGGTGAGGTGGGAGATGTGACATTTGGGGGGCACAAAGAAAATTGAGTTTGAAAAAAAAATGTGGAAAATCACAATTTTCCATGAATCACATAATTTTTCCTTTGTCCAAAAAGTGTTACCCTGGGCTGCACCTGCCAAAGGTACACACTTGCTAAAGCGTTTGGAGGTGCCCATTGGTGCACACTTTGTGAAATGTGGCACCAACAACCTTTCAGCATACTCCTCTTCTGAAGAAAGGGTTATAGTATCAGCCTGCTGGGTTTTGAATTCCATTTGACCACCCCTGGCTATGGATGTTGCCTGGCCACAACCACAAATTCAGCCGCTAAGAAAAGAAAAGAAAAATTCAAATCATCAACCAACAATGTATAGGACCATGTATCATAATTCATACTAGAGCATGAGACATTTTCATCACATTCAGCTTCCAAATCAGCCTTGGTCGTGGTTGCCAATTGGCTTTTTGATGGAACTGGCAGATTCCCCTGTGGGTTTTACCGTTCTGCCGAAGTAGTAGAGGTAAAAAGTATGTCCTAGCATGTCAGACCGGGCTATTGGTACCGAGACTACGTCTTCGGCATGTAGATGTGCACAGGGATTGTATCTGTCATTTGTATGGAGCCCCACTTGTTCTAGCGGAGCTCACACACAGCCCGGCTGGGTAGACAAAAGCAGACAAGGATTAGCACGTTATAATTTGCAAATATCTATCTATTTACCTCCACGTTATCGGCAGAAGCACAGTCATACGTACAGCAATACCGGTACCACATCCCCACCGGTGCTCATCAGCAGCCATCCTCACCTATCAGCTCACTGGACATATGGCTCTCGAGTCGTTCCTGCAATTCAGGCCGAGGCGGAGGGGGTATCAATAGGGTCTGTGCAGGTGCTACAAGTCATGTACTCCGTCTTGTACGCGGTTTGATTGTCAACACGCGCCCTGGGCCGTGTGACTCCGGCTGGTGTGACAGAGTTCCTCAAGTTTCATCGGCCACTGGCACAGGCGCAAAGCAGTCAGCTGGACGATTCTGGTCCAATCGGGAGTGATTCTTCGCGCATCCGGCTGAAATTTGCATGGAAAATAGAAAGCCATGTAAACCCATCAATAAATAGATAGACGATAGGGGAGAGGGGAGCGAGGGGATCCCGATCAGGATGATTGCTTCGATCAAACCTGAACCTGATCAAGCTGGCGCCTGTAATGGTTCCCATGTAATGATTAGCTCTGATACCCGGGCTTACCGAGGCATTCATCTGGTCCTTGGCTCGGTCGTCGATGGACATCGGATGAGACAGGAGTTCTATGTAAAGGAAGATATGTAATGGGAGATTAAGAGATTTTTAAGGTGTACCGTGTCTGGCACTGACCACTGGATGACTTCCCGTCAACATCTGCGGGTCTCCCAGTTTCCATTTAGAGCCGAAAAAGCTAGACTTCCCTGCGAAAATCTAGACTTTTTGGGTCTAAATCGAAAACTGCGAGGGTCCCAGATCCGACGGGTCAAAGCCAGTCGATATTTATTTATTTATTTATTTGCAAAGATTTGTGTACCGATCCGACCTCAAATCATGAAATCTCTCCCTGAGACGGCCTATCCCAAGTTCCACAGTGACAGGATTCACCGGACATAATGATAGCACAGCTCGACCATGGGGGCTGCTGTTGCATGTCTGCCCAAGACCGTGCCCCAAAGTTTCTCTAAGTACATGACGGCCGCAGTTCTGCGGGATCGGGTCTGATCGGGTCGGATGATCGATTGTATTTAAGGTAGCGGTACAGCCGAGGAGGTGTGTGTGTGTGTAGATGAACCCTGCTACGGATAAAGGTCTAGAAGGCTCCGGGTTACGAGCCGCAAGCTCCCGCAACAGATGATGATCTGAACGACCACATCATAAATAATAATTTATGATTTAAACTTGATTGATTATTCCAAAATACTTGCAACTTTATCATCTTGCCCTGATCAAGTGCTGTTAAATAGTCTTTTGTCCCCAACAAACTCAGCCAGCCTGACAGCTGAGGGGGATGGCCATGTGGATCGATGCCGGTCGGCATAAGGGATATATACAGTAATTATACATGCGATGATGCATCGTGGCGAGTGCCGACGGTTACCGATGGCGAGTCTTGGAACCCCGTCGTAAGGTGTATATTGATGGGCTGTAGCAAGAAAGACCGGTCATCCGATAGGAAGCGGCGATGAGTTGTATCATGTGTAACGGGGGCATCTCCATCACAGCAACGATGCTTAATGATGATGTGATGATGGTTGTACGTGAATATCTATGGGTTTAAGGCTGATGATACACGAATACTGTCCTCGGCTGCTCCGTTCCGTTGCAGCCGGTGAGTCGATTCAGTACATGAGAGCTCAGTCCCTGATTGCTCGGATTGCTACATAAATAAATACTAATATTTATTCCTTTCCTTTATAAATAAGTAATGATCGCCCATGTTGCACCGAGGGCTCGGACGGTCGGACCCGCCATGGCCATGAAGCAGTGCTCAGCTGACTCCCGCTGCAACCTGTGATCGAGCCATGTACTCACTGCGCGATATCCCGGCCCCGGTCCTCGTCGACTGGACACTCTGAAGACTCATGGATCTCCAGCCCTGTTCTGTTTCCATCCACGCCGGAAAGTGCTGGCCGTGGGTTTCAGCGTGAGCATGCCTAGCTTGGCAGCCTGTGCCGAAGATGTATGTATGTCTCAGGCTGCTGAATGGTCGCATACTGCATAGCTATGCATATACGGCTTTCCATCTCCTCCACTCCCGGCCCCTTTCTCCATTTTTTAGATTAAATACATGCATATAGTATGTAAAGTCTCCCTGTTTTTTTTCCCTAGATCCATACTACGGCCGTTTTTTTTTCCGTGCTTCGACTGTCTCGCTCGGTTGCCTGTTGTCCGTTTTCTCTATGTAGTTATTTTCAACCACCGCACCCTCCGCCCCCATTTTTTCCTCGATCTGCGCTCAGTCTCCTAACCCATCCCGGCCGGTGGCTGGTCATCGAAATGCATCTTCATCCCACCCGCTGGTGACCAGCCCGAACCGCATCGCACCGTGCCTTCCCCTCTTCGCAACGTTCCTACATCCAGTTTCCCCCCTGCCTTGTCCCTGTCACCCCCTCCGTCTCTCCCTCTCCAGCCCGCAGCCCTTCCTCGGTCTCCTCCGTCGTCTGCAATATAAGTATTCCCCTCTGAACCCATCCCGCCCGTCTGTCCGCTCCCCTCACCTTTCCAGCTTGCTCCCGTTTCCTTCTCAGCCTTCTCATTGTCCGTTAATTATATCTGCAATTATTTTACACGCCTGTAATTCACCACCAACCACCCTAACAATCACTGCCCTCTTGCTTCCAACAGCCAGCCAGCCATCTCCCAACTATTAATTAAGCGCCCTTACGTGTGACTGATTGGTGGTTTTCCATCATCATCTCACCCAACGCCCCCAATCCCAACACACCGTCTCTTCCCACCGCCGCTCGTCATTCTTCTCCTGCTCTGTCATAGTGTAGCCAACCAACCTTCCTTTTGGTGCATAGATCATCCCAGGCACCACCATCCTGCCCTCTTGATCTTTTCCACTGCGGGCCCTCAACACATTTCCCTCATAACATTTACCTTGCCGGCCCCTCATCCGGCATATCTATCACCATTTCAAGTAGATATTGAAAAATTGTTGTTGAAGTTTTTTTTAACTCGCCGTCCAATCAAGTTTGTTCTATCGTAACGGTGTTCTGCCATCCGGCCCTGATTTCCTTGAGTACATTCTACTATTCGTACCAATCCTGTTAGATCATGTTGGAAGGCTCGTTCCGGCCGTCATCTTCGGCGACCGGCCTCCATCCTCAGTATCCTATCCCCAAGTCTGGCTACGCCGAGCAACCTTCCCCCGCCGCCAACATGCGCAAGGACCACCCTGGTCCCTCATTCACGCCTGTTCACGATCGGCCGCTTTCGTCCCACTCGCCAGACTATGAGTCTGAAGACCATCAGCAATCCGGTTCTCCACCCGGCCACGCCCCCCACTTCTTTAAATCTCACCCGTCCATGGCCAGCCACCCGCAATCCAACCAGAGCTCCGTCCATCAAGCCGCTTCCGAACTACCTCAGTCTTCTTCGATACCTAAGCTAGATGGCAGGCCTCCCCAGGAGGTGGCCCCAAAGAATTCCAACATTGGTCCCGTGCGGGCCAAGAAAAAACCTGCCGGCTCGGCTTGTAACAGCTGTCATCGTCTCAAGGTATGCCGCACGCCTTGAAAGCTATCCACCGATTTATCGGTTGCTGAAATATTCTTTCTTCTCACTCTCACAGACGCGCTGCTCCGGTGGTCATCCGTGTGATCGGTGCGCGGCCCACAAAGTTGCATGCCAGTTCGACCGGGACCTAATCTACCGGTCCCCCCTGGCCTCGAGCTCCCAGCAGGCCTCAGCACGTAACGCTCATGCTATGAGTAAGGGGGAGACCGCGCCGGCCGGAAAGCCCCGGTCCCGCTCCGGCCCTAAGGCCGGCCGTAAATTCCCACCGGCTTCAAACCCAGGCGCCGTCTCGCAGTCTGCCCCCACCGCCCCCATGCTACCCATGGCGTTGCCCCAGGTGACTCAACTTTCAGCTCCCTCGTTGCCCACACTCTCTGCCCCGATCGCACACCAACCCGGTTCATTTTCGGCGGCGCCACCCAAGCAAGGCAACAAGTCAACCCCTATCTCTACTCCCCAACCTCCCGAAGGTTATGCCAACTACGAGCCAAATTTGTCCCATCCAAACGGTCTCCATGTTCGCCTGGCTGCGCTAGAAAATAGCGTTTCCGGACTGCTTCAAGTTCTCCGAGCCCACCAGTCCACCAACCCCAGTTTTCTCCCACCTGCGGCTGAGCCTCGACCTCCCCTTTCGCCACCCACGCCCCCAACTTTGGTGGTGTCGGGTTCTTCTTCGACTTTTGGTCCTGAGAAAGACCAACCCAATGACCCTAACAGATTGGGCGCCCCTTGCGCCACTTCTGGACTTGGGGATCCCCTATCAGAAGGCATCCTGCCTGCTATGCAGTTGCAGTATTTGTACGATGTGTGAGTTTGGTATTGATCTTACAGATCTTCAGAGCTGAGACTAACTGGACTCTACCATCGCAGTTTCGTAGAGTTTTGCCTGCCCAGCCTACCCATCCTTCATGCAGTTCAAATAGCTTCAATTCGAGCTCGATCTTCCTTTTTATTCAGCGTCATGGTGGCTATTGGGGCTCGGTTTTGCTCTTCCCAATCTGTTGCTCACATACCCCCCAAGAACTGCTTGATGTCCAACTCAACAGGAGCTAGAGTTGATCTTTCCCAGGTAACAATTGACGAGGCGACATATGCTCGTTTGGTCACCCTCGCCCACCAACACCTATCTAACACTCTTCTCAAAGCTACTCACAGCCTAGAGGACGTCAGAGCGATACTCTTCTTAGCCTGTTGGGCCCTGGTGTCTAATGAGGATCCCAACGGGGCTCCCAACCGATGGGTGCTCATTGGCCATGCAGGTCGCATTGGCCGTTCGATCGGCTTAGACCGCTGTACATCTGAACTGCGGGGGTCCAGCGACATTTGGAATAACCCCGAGCTTCATGAAACGCGCCGCGTGCAGTTAGATGCGATCAAGACTGATCATGCGTTGCAAGCCATCGAAACAATGTGAGTTTTCCGTCTACGCTCATCTATCATATGTCAGTGGATTCTAACTGAAATCCATCTGGCCAGTCTGAGCTCAAACCTTCGATTAGAGCCGAGTCGTGACTATTTCCCCCCTCTACACGTGGCCACCGAACGAGAACCGAGTTTTACAATCGTCAAGCTTTCCAACGGCTCTCCTTCGCAGTATGACGTTGTTAGTGCCGCCCAGATCGAATCGCTTGCCGAGTTGGCCGAGATTTGGGCGGCAGCCAACTCCTTCTTATCAGTAGCCGATGACCGAAGCCGCAACCTGACCAGCGAGCAGCTCATCGAATTGGGCGAACATCACAATAAAGTGATGGATGCATGGGCGAAAAAATGGACTTGGCATGGTAAGCTTCAAATTTTGAACTAGGTCGAGTTGAAACCTGCATCAGCTGATATTTCCTTGTATTGCTCCTCGCTAGGTTCTTCTTGGGCTCCATTACTTGGTGCCAATTTACGAACCATTAGACTCCTGTCCGAATCTCTGCGAATCACCCTCAATCTAGCTTTTACCAACGTCTTGTATGCCATAGCTGCTGTTAGTAGACTTCCTCCAAAATTTCACGAAACATTGGCCATGGCAATCGAAAGGGTCAACGGTTCGAGTACAGCTGTGATTCAAGCCCATCGAGACTCAGTCCGAGAAGGCTTCAGCTTGGCGTTTGCCCCGGATTTGGTAACCGATGGTCTCGTTTCCGCTGCCATCACCGTTTTGCAACTTGCATCACCGATCGGGCTGCCTGCGATGATCGGAAAGCCGAGTGGTAAAGAAATCAAGAAGCGAACCCTGAATCCAAGTGGATCTTCTTCGAACCTCGAAAATCTTGCTCGCGAAGAGCGACTTCCGACACCCCAATCCGGTGAAGACAGAGCGGATGTCGACATGAATGAGGCTAACGCTTCCAGCTCTGGCGGTCCTCAGCCCCATATACTCATGCGACCCTCGCATGAATCCAGAGCCTCCAGTCCAAGTAGCACTCCTCGCCGGCTCTCTAAATCAAGTTCACCTCGTATGGCTTTCTTTTCAGCGGATGGTATCGCAGGAGGTAACCAGATGCTTGGTAAAAAATGCTTCATGGAACCCCCTGTCGCAGCACACTACATCAGAATGGCAACAGATGTCCTTCAGTCGAGCGATAGATCCCAAACGCGATTGGGCACCATCATGGCGAGCAAGATAATGAAGTTGGCCACTCAAGCTGGTTTGATGGGATCTCCCAGCTCATCAAATTTAGTGGGTCCCACCTCAAATACCAGTCACTCCCCCGGTGGTGGTATGGTGTCTCATGACGAACGCCCCTCGATTTCTTCTACATCGTCACTTTCTTCTACGAGGCACGCGACAATTTCGAGTGCCGAGCACCCAGACGTCAACCCTCACCCTAAATCTAAGCAGGACGGTGTGATTGGGTTAGACAGCAGAGCCACCGACGTTTCTAACCCAGAATCCTCTTTAAGACAAGCCGAAGATGACGATGAAATTAGCGGTGAAAACATTCATACAGCCTCGCAGCAAAGGGCTGTCCTGATTGCTCAACCTGGGCCGCAAGACCCCGACTTCCACGACGATGAGAACGAGGATGAGCCAACGGAGGGAAACGAGATGGCCGATGATAATTGTGATGGTGATGGTGAAGCAGATGAGGAGGACCAAATAACCGGGGATTCTTACTCAGCTATTCATCATGAACAACAACCCTCCGAGAAAGATGGGCAAGACATGATGGAAGAAGATCAGCAGTAGTCCTTTGTTTTTTCTTCCACCAATACGGTCTTCATTTGTTGTTCAATTTTGTGCTTCTTTCAATATATTTGTTTTCACACTTTCTATTTTTTATGTTTTCAAAATGCCATTGCTAATACTGTTAGCCTTGGGAACTTCCTCTGTAATAAAACAATTACCTCGCTGCGTGATTACGCAGCTACTTGTAGCGTACAATGAGGCCTATGTAATTTTGCTGCTGTGATACTGCTATTCCCTTACACCTGATGTTTTTGTTATGTTTGAAAAGTCTGGACTTCCATAGAAAGAAAGCTATAATTCATCTTAACTTTGAGGGTACAGACTGTTCTCAAGTATCTCTGCTTGTTGGGGTGAAGTGCCTGATTACCTGTGGCATTTTGCAGTACATGTCATGGTTGCTGTCCAATTTATCAACCCCCTGGGTGGAATTTGTTATGTTTGACGTTCAAAAGTTTGATTCATTTCCAAGAAGGCTACCAGACATTTCATTTGTTAAGAATTTTGGACATTGGCAGCTATTTAGCCTGGAGAAATAACAAGGGGAATACACATCCTGACTGTTGTAGAATTCCCCATGTGCTCATAGGCAATTTGGAATCTTTGTCCTGTTGTTTGGGCCAAGTGTGGGATTTTATGTCAACATTTTCAGCCCATTGTTTTTTGTTGTTATTAAGCCCTTTCCGAGTCAAACATGAACCCTAAGTAATTAGCTTTTCTCAACAACTCATGTCTCTACGATGATTTCTTCTCTTTCCTGATACTTTTGTTTCATTTATTAAAAACTGGTCACTTAGAATTAACAACTCTAAATGTTTGTGAATTATGACATGTTTTCTTTTGATTAACTCATCTGGCTTGTCTAAAAGAGACTGAGAAGCCTTGACCGGTTTGTTTCTTCCAAAAACACATGTCTCTTTCTCTCAGCTTTTATTCATTATGATTTTTTATTCATTTTCATTTCTACCACATTTTGCTCACTTGTACTTAGTCTATTTAGCCCTGGCTTCTTACTTGTGAATGAAAACTCATCGGTTCTTTCACTCTTTTTCCGTGAACCTTTCCCAAAAAGGAAAATCACCTTCTTGGCCCTCTGCCTCCTAAGTTTTTCAGTTTAAAATTTCAACAAGACCAAAAGTAACCCAAAGATGTTTCTTGATGTCAAGTAAAGCAATCAAAATGATTTAAAAAGGATGAAATGTATTTGTATATTATAACAAATGTCAAATGCATTAATAAATAAATATTTAGTGCATCAATGTATGTGCTTTGAGTCTAGAGATGTCACTTCAAACCCGGGTACCCGCACCCAACCCACAGCGGGTGCGGGTACCCGCCTCAAAAATCACTTTTTTGGACACACGCCAGGTCTGCCAGGGCAGGTACCCGGGTACCTGCGGGTGTGGAGGGGTATATGGGCCTCATCGGCCAGAAGGGATTCCTTCCGGTCGATGAGGCTGTTCCACCTCATCGATCGGAAGGAATTCCTTCTGGTCGATGGGGTTGTTATACCTCGTCGATCTGAAGGAAATTCTTCCAATCGATGAGGTATAACAACCTCATCGACCGGAAGGGATTCCTTCTGGTTGATGGGGTTGTTGTACCTCATCAATCTGAAGGAAATCCTCCCAATCAATGAGGTATAAAAACCCCATCGACCGGAAGGAATTCCTTCCAATCGATGAGGCGACAACCTCATGTAATTCTGGGGTCATCAATACTGTAAAGTCTCAATGAGCGGAGGAATCCCTCTGGCCATTGAGACAGTGTACAGTCTCGAAGGCTGGAGGGTTCCCTCCGACCTCAACAGGCCCATGTAGGACACCAACTGGTGTCCTACATGGGTTCCTGACACCTTGGTGCAGCCCAACACACCCAAAACTCCATTCCCAGGGCGGGTGTCAAGGTGGGTACCCGGGTACCCGCCGTTTTTTGTCCCAAAACTCGGCACCCACACCCGCACCCAGCACCCCCGGGCGGGTACCCGCTCCGGAGAACAGGTACCGGGTACCCGCAAACGAGTACCCATTGCCATCTCTATTTGGGTCTTGACATCTCAACTGTGGGGTAAATCATTTTGCTTGTTTGTTTGTTGTTCTTCTTATTGTAACCTGGGGCAAATCCTTTTGCTCACAATTTAATTTATTTTGAAGAATTTTTGGCAAAATAGACCAAGAGAAAAAAATGTTTTATGATTTTGCTGAGAGGGCTTAAGTGCTCACAGACAGACTGAAGGAAGGGCTGAAGTGCTTCCTTCAGGAACGGTCAAAAAAATAATAAAGAACCAATGTTTTTCTTAATTTCTCAATATCTAGGGTCTTAAATAGTCTAGATACAACAATTGTGCAAGATGTGGGAGCAAGGATTTATGCATATTGAATAAGAACTCAGTGAGAATACCGGTGGTGAATGAGTGACATGTGACAGAGAAGGAAGAGAAATAGAGAGAGATCGATGAGCAAATAATTCAAGACATTTTATCATGAGCTTATTATAAGAATTAAACAGCACTGGGCCGTTATGATACACTACACTCTTCCCCCAAAAAACCATTAGAATAGCAGTACTTGTTTTTTTGTGCACAAATCCTTTAATGTTAGCAGGCTTATTTTATCCTACACTTCACTATGGGCTGCTACAGGGCCACAATGCCACCAACCAGTGCAGTGGGTACATTTGGGAGGCCTCATGTGTGCATAGCATCAGTACAGACAAGTCAGAATTCCACTGTCCCACACTTGATTTCAGCAGGATTCTGCTATGCTACACCATGCTAACACTACTGATTGAAATTTAAGCCAACAAGGATGATATTGAGAAGAAGAGGAGAGTGAGTTTTTTCAAATCGATTATGAACTCAGTAGCACTCTCAGGGGGCTCAAGAGTGGTACAAAGTTCAGATGAAGGAGAACTGATGACTTGAAATTTCTTGTTGACTAGCCGGTTGTCAACAGACTGGATAAAATGATGATCAAAATGTGGTTGGAAGCAAATAGAATATAAAGGAAGAAAAAAATTAAGGGGGTTAGTTAAACGACTCCCAAAAAATGGAGAGCCGACTCCCAAGCCCCGGAATCCCCAAATTTTGGGAGCCAAACCCCCCAAACCTTTGACTGGTTTGGGAGTCGACTCCCCAAAAAAAATATTCAAAAAAAAAAGAATCCCCCGGTGTGGTAAGAACAATCAAACCCCTACCACATAATTAAAAACACCTTATTACATATAAATAGTAATTAAAATATTAGAGGATAAGGGGTAGATTAGGAAATAAACCACATAAATATTACTGGGCTAAATCGTAGTGGAATTAAATCACAAACTAGGCCTACAATATTTAATTTATCATAGATAAAAATTATACAAATAACCTGTAGAACTATATTACATTCATCCTAGACTAGTAAATCAAGCTACTAATCAGAAAGTACTTCACAGACTAGCGCTAGAAAATAACTCTTATATTAATTAGTCCTAGAATACCCATCTCATAGTAATTAATCTAAGAATAGGCATCTTAAAGAAGAATTACAACCTCTTGTATTAGAAGGCGAACTTAACACAAGTCCCCCTGGTGGGAGGCTCGCTGGTGTAACTGGCTGGGCGCGAAGCGCCCCCTCCCGCAGGGAGGGACTTGAAACTTAAAACGCATTTGCGGTGTGACCCAGAAGCACCGTTTTGGTGGGAGCAACCTTCCTTGCCCCACCACTCATTCATTATAATGCCATTTTTTTCTCAATTCTAGTAGATGAAAGATCTACATAGTCTTGATTTTCCTACATTTTTTTTATTTTGAAAAGGTGTGTGATTCTACTTGAAAATGGGCAATGAAGTTCATGATTTTGAACTTTAATTTGCAAATTTGGCAGAGAGGCTCGAGCGCAATCTCAGTATAAGCATATTTTTTGCCTGCAAAATGGAAATTTCTCTTTTTTTTGTTTGATTTTTTTAAAAAGATTGGCATGGGAATACAAATAAAAAAAAATGCAGAAAGATCAACAAGATGGCAGGGAACAAGAAAAAGGCTACAATGGAATTTTGACAAAAAAGGCACGGAAGCCAGAGGTGATAATACAAAAACAGGCCTCAAAAACAGGCCTGCCTCATGGGAGCTTTGAGTAATAACATGTAAGCCTCTCTGACGAGACTGGGCTGCCGCCCAGACCTGCCCGCAAACGACTCTCGTCACGAGAGGATTAGTTAAGCTCGATTAGAAGGGCACTCAGAGGTTAATTCATATCAGATTAGCCCATCTCAGAGTAGTAAAATCTACTCTAGAAGTACCTTTCTCAGACGCACTTGTGTTCAGGCCAAAATCTCATGTACTGCAGAACCATTTGTCTATAAATAGAGGCTCTTCTGGCCCAGGTTTTCCTCTTCCCTCCTCATGTTTGCACCAGAGAAGTAATTAGAGATATTACTTAGCACTCATCAAAACCAGATGCTAGCTACAGAACAGTAATAAGAGATATTACTCAGCTTTCATCACCCCTTGATAAAGAAATC